TGTTGCTAATTACTTCAAAGAGAAGGATGTTTCAGATGCAAGGGGAAGGTGGTTGAACTGGTTAACCTTCATACTTGGGAGGTTTACTACAGATTTTAGGAAGTTACTTTAAAGATATGCAGTAAACATTTGCTGCCTCAATCCAGGGTGAGGGAGTTTTAGCAAAAGCAAGCCTCATAGCAGCCTAGGTACAATGCAGACCTGATTCCCATGGGAAAACCTATCCATAGGTGTGGGTCCTGTGTCCCGCCTCACTCCCTACTGGGACTTTCCAAGTCAGGTGCTGGTCTACATTCCCCACACCATGAGGAATGGTTCCCTATAACTGAGCTCAACAGGGCAAGGTTTGGGGAGTCAGAAATGTGGGGATAGTGGATCATGTATGAGGGGGAGGTGTCAGTCAGGCCTGGGGCAAGGTAGGCGGAGCAGCCCCCACCCCAGAGACACACAACTCAGTCTGTCCCAGATTCTCCCCAGACTTCAGCCGGGTGGGGCCACCAGGAGTTGAGAGTGTGGGGGCCATCTCGACCCCCTGAGGGTGGAGTTAGAATATCTCCTGTGAGGGGGAGGTGTCGGTAAGGTTCATTGGAAAGTGAGAAAAATGGTTCCTGACCCAAAGCTACACTGCTCAGTCACTGAGACCCCTGAATCTGCCTGGATCTCACCCTGACACCCTGGGCCAGGCAACTGACTCCTTAGCAGGGCATAATCTCTGCAGGGTGGGGAAACAAGGAGTCCAGATGGTGGTGCTGTGGTGTTCCCTCAGGCTGATGTTGTAGGAAGAGGCATGTTCCACCCAAGAAAGATGGCATCTACAGGGTGGAAGAATGATTCAGCACAGCGGTCTTAGCTACTGTGCCCTGACCTCTCTCCCCAGAGCCATGAACACCAGGCTCATGTGAGGAGAGCCTCACATGACTTCTAGTCTGTTCTACCTTTCCTCTGCCAGAGCCCAGGGTGAACCACTGCAAATAAGATTTGGTGCATTGGCTCTTTAAGAGGGTACCTGAGACTCTAGCAAACTCCTCTGTCTCCCAATGGACAAAACCCCTGCTGATTTTCACAGCCAGGTGTTATGTGGGCACTTCTTTCTGGCTTTTATGCCCTGGGATGGGGAACCTAATGTGTAACTGAGACCCCATGCTCCTTAGGGGGGAAGCTTTGCTGCTAAGATAACCATCAGGATTCTCAGCCGATACCCATGGGAGTGGGGCCAGCCCTTTATACCTCTCCATCCTTCCTACCAGTCTCATCGTGGCTTCTTCTGTGAATTCTTGTTTGTGAGACTTCTATTCAGCTATTCTTTGGTTGGGTATTCAGGTTGATTATTTTATGTTTTAGTTTTAATTCCAGTGTGGCCCTGGGAGGAGGCAAGTATAACATCCACCTAGTGTGCCAACATCTTGGATACTCACTTGGAGGACTATTTCCAAGGTTTGTCATCTCAGTCATCTTTCATTCTACTTATTTCCTACTGTGTTTGATAATTTTTGCAAGGTGAATTTAAATTTACCTGGTTCCATCTGAACAGATCCTGAGATTCCTGGGTTAAGGGTAAGGTCCTTCATTGCTTGTATGCCCCCACAGTGGACTAGGTTGTGATGAGCTGAGACACTTGAAATACAATTTTTCATTTGACATACACAGGAAAATTTATTAATTATAATTATAGCAAATAAAAATAATAGCATACATTCAATCTTCAGATCAATGAGAGGACATACTTGTGGGTATGTGAGCTCAAAAGAGGATCATTTTCCATTATAAAGTCAAGGCTTTCTTATTGTCCTTTTGCTGGCAGTGCACATTCCTACCTCCTCCTGCCTTATCCTCTCCCTTCTATCCCAAGACCCCTTTCTCTAAGTCTATAGCACATGTATGGTTCTGGTTTTAGGTAAGTCACTCAGTTTCAAATTTCCACCTTTCTGGGAGGCCTGTTCATTTGCTTTATGGGTTGAATGTTCCTTGTTATCTGAGACTGTGGGCCCTTTAAAGTTGTGTCAATGGCATTAGGAAACACATTCCTGAGAGGAGTCATCTTTACAATGGTCCCCCTTAGTGCCTGGCAGGTTCCTTTACAATAGGAACCTGAGTGGGCTGCTGAGCAGGGCATGAGGACTTGAGTACACAAGACTGATAACTTTTGAGAAGTCAAAACACCAATTACAAAGCATAGTCAAAGAAAAGTGGTCCAGTTCCTGCTTTACTTCAGGAAAAAAAGCAAATCTTTTGAGTCATTTGATAAGACTAAGTGTTTTAAAGAGGGAATGTAAGTTTGGGGGAGGATAGAAATCAAAGTCAGGTCAGGGACTTGAAAAAGGTCACTTGATTAGGCTTTGGCAATACTAACTGATAGCCCTGGAAACCAAGGCATGGAAGAGCCATGCACTGGTCTGGTATCTGTGCCATTCATGGTCTCTACTTCTCTCCTCATTCTCTCAGTGGGTCCTTCTGTGTACCCAACCCTGGGTTGCACCTTAGAGACAAGGAGGTGAATCAAATAAAGCTCTTGTCCTATAAAAGTAAGAACACTGAAAAGGTGGTCACAGATGTTCACTCTAGCTGTAGAGGAATCAAGAGGGCTGCTTTTAGAACATGATGCTGGAGGATTCAGTTGTTCCATTAATGTCTATTAAGCATTAGCTCTGTTTCCAGACACTCTTCTAGGTGGAAATACAGCAGCTGAAGAATACTTTTGTTCTGTTCTAAAGGAATCAGATGGTCAATAATGTGCAACCAAATAAAGATTATTTTACATAGAGATAAATTATAAGCTAAGTGGAGAATTACAATTTCATGACAGAGGGGCTACTTAAAGTTAAATGGCTAGGGAAAAGCCCTTTGTCCAGAGATAATATTTAAGCTGAAATCTGAATGAACACAAACAATTCTGCAAAGATAGAGAAAAGAGTTCTAGGCCAGAACAGCCAATGCAAATGCCACATTCAGCTTTGAATGTAAGTTACCTACAAATACTTCTCCTTGTGCATAACCCTGTGACATGCCCAAGGAAGACATTTGATAGATGTTCTGAATGAGAAGATCGGAATGAGTGAGTCAGTGCTGTCACTAAGCTAAACACACATGGAAGGGTAAAGTAGTTAGAACAGACGCAGAGGTGTGTGCCTGCGTGTGCACATATACACACGTGAGCACACACACAAGTATGCATTTGGTAGAATGTCAATGCATGCCTCTTATATTAAAATATAAGGGAAATATCCTGAAAATCTGTGATTCTAGAGGATTGGTTGCTGAGCTATAGACATGGATGCATGGGAAGGGGCAGTAGAAGGAAAAGTTTAGGGTTTAAAATAGAGAGCTTCCCAGTGCTAGGCTGGAAAGCCCACAGCAACCCTGGAGAATTACCCAGCATAAAGAAGTTCTAAGGACTGTTGTCTATTAACCTGGGTTGAAGGTCAGTCCACTGCCCCTGGTCACCAGGTTAATTAGACCTGACATTGCTGAGGCATCTGCCAGAAACCTGGGCTGGAAGACAGCTTGCCTACCACAGTCTTCATGCTCTGAGGAGTCCCTAGTAAGTCATTTCTGGAATTAGAGGTGGAGTCCAGGGCCAAGAGTCTGGCCACTTGACCTCATACTGGTGAGATGGAGGCAGGGGCTGTGGTGGGGTTGTCAGGCCCACTCAGGGCTTCTGTATCTCTTTCTGATCTATAGCATTTATGTTCTTCTTGAATCCACCTGACCATCTGCACACTGAAAGGTGATCCTTTCAGCCAAAGGAAAGGATGAAAGTGGAGTGTGTTTAAGCTTGACCTTGGCCTCCAGTATAATCAAGGAAGTGGGGGGGGGGGGGAGAAGAAGGTGACAAAGGTTCCTTCTAGCTCACTACTTCTGAGTCCTGGAGGAAAGGAATGCCTAAGGGAACTGACAGGGTAGACATGGGCACATGAGTAGTTAGTTACCAGCAACATTAAGATTAGCAGTGAGAGAGAAGCAGAGGCAAAGGCCCATAGGGGCTGAGCTGCCAAGGCTTCCTGTAAAAGGAATCAGACCAAGCAAAGACTTGGGGGAATCTGGCAGCTAGATGGGGGTACAGAGCTAGGTAGGCCTCTGGGCAACATGCAGAGAATCCTGGCAAGAGATGAAGCAGGATCTGAAATCCTACCAGGCCCAGTATGAACAAAAATTATAGGAGCCTGCATTCTGGCTGGCAAAAAAAAAAAAAAATTCTCTCAGTAGAAAATTTCAAACCAAGCAAAAAAAAGAAAATTTGAGTCTCATGTGGCAAGATTGAATGATCAAAGAAGGCTCCTTTTGAGGGTCAGAGCACTACCTTAGGGCACTCTGGGTCCTAATCACCCAGAAAGGGTCCATTACTAAATAGAGACTTTAGACAAAATGACTGACAGGTTCTGGGGAAACAGCTGTGGTTTTGAGGGTAGGTGGAGCACTGAAGTGTAAAATAGGGATTTTTATGTGAAATGGGAGAAGGGATGTCATAAAACAGCTACCACCATGAAATGGACCCTGTGGAGCCTCACTTCACCTCCAATAGTTTGAGTCTAGCTTTAGGGAACATAGGAAGGGGAAGAAGAGGGAAAGTGAAGCTCACTTGGTCCTCAAAAAATGGAGTTGAGAGAGGAGCCAAAGTTCACACAGGTAATGAGCTTGCCCTTGTGCAAGGCCACCAAGAACAGAGCTAGTTTGTCATGTCCAGATCCCATAGGTTCTCATGCATAGGAACTGCCTAACCTTATACCTTGTACCACAGGGGCACTTGAAGACCAGGGAGAGCAGGCTCCTGTTACAGTCCTCTCACAAGTACCTTTGCTTTAGCACTGAACTAATTCTAACACATTTTACTTGTCTGTCTCTTCAGTAGCCTGGGAGTAACTTAGAGTCAAGGGTTGTGAATTCCCTTCTGTGTGTGCTATCTTGCGCATAGGTCCAACACACCAGAGGTGGTAGCGAATGTTGACTAAATGAGATAAGATGAAATTATTTTCCTTGACTTACTCCACTACTAGGTAAGGACCATGTTCCACTTTTCATCACTTCCTGTCCTTCTGTGTGTGATGACAGTGTCCTGCTCAGAAATAAAATCCTATGAAGATGCCCAGAAGACCTGTTAAGTGATTACCTGTGGCATCCCCGTCACCAATGGGTCTCCAGGCAGAGATGGGCGAGATGGACCCAAAGGAGAGAAAGGAGAACCAGGTGCAGCAGGCCGGTCTGACTTCTTAAATCTCTACTCCCAAGAAAAGACTGTTCCCTAGGAGGGAACTAGCAAAGAGCCATGAGCAGGCTCACCTTCCATTATGATGGGTGGTGAATAACAGAATAATTCCTGTACAATTTCATTCTCTCCAAAACAAAAATGCTTCTGTGGTTCTCCTGGATCCCACCTTTCCACACGGGAATTAATGAGGTGTGGTTGTCCCTAACGAGGGGTGTCCTGCCTGTCTGGGTACCTGCTCCTGGGATGCAGGAGGATCTTTTGTTTTCAGGTCACCACTACTGTACTGGTTTCTGCACTCATGTGAATCTGGTACAGGGCATTTGATAGAAGAGAATAAGCAACAGCCACAGGGTCACAGCTCCTTCATCTTCCAACAGGGCAAGGGCCCAGAGGCTTGCAGGACCTTCCAGGGAAAATGGGGCCTCCAGGAATTCCAGGACCTCCTGGATTAGCAGGACTAAAGGGACAAAAAGGAGATCATGGAGGCAGTTCAGGTAAGGACCTCATCCCAGCACAGTGTGAGCTAAGGGGATCCAGAGCCCTGGGAACTTGAGGGCTAGTGGGGAGGTGACCCTTCTCTTGATGCCCCACTGGCAGATGCTCACCTCTGCTTCCTGACCCAGCACTCTCATTCCTCCCAGTCTTACTTGGGGCCTGAAGGGATTCCCATGGGTGCCTGAGTACAGACTCCCCACCACTGTCAACCACACCCCCTGAGCAGGCCATTGCAGAAGATGGACCCCTGCTCTTCTTCAGCTGGAACAGTGCAATGTGAGGCTCCAGGATGCGAGGGAGGAAATAGGTCCTCTAGGGTGTTCACTTTAAGTCTATTGTCACAAGAGTGGCATGAAAATGGACTGCTTCATAACAGCTCTGCTTCTATACAGTAATTAATAAAGCAACTCAATAAAGCAACTGATTCAGAGTGAAATAAAGTAATTAGTAACAACAAAAGAAAAATGATGACCACATATTAATATTTGTCCACAGGCCTATCACTATTATAAAAATATTAAAGTGTTTGCCTGGAATAACAAGTAAGAGAGAATGATGAAGAAAACTTTTCAAAAAAAGGAATGAGTTAGGTTTTATTTTTTAATTTTCACCCAAAAATATGTTCATTTATTTTAGAGAGACAGGAAAAGTTAGAGAGGGAGAGAGAGAGAAACATCCATGTGACAGAGAAACATCAATCAGTTGCCTCCTGAAAGTGTCCTAAGTGGGGACAGAACCCACAACCTAGCTATGTGCCCTAGGTGAGTGGAACCTGCAAACATTTGGTGTAGGAGACAACGCTCCAACAAACTGATCCACCTGGCCAGGGAAGCATTTTTTGATAAATAATTATAGTATTACAATATTTAAGCACTATGTGAAGAAAAGGATCCAGACCAATTGTTTAGAAGTTGTTGTTAGTACTACTAGTTTCAGACATATAATTTATAAGAGTTATGAATTATATCTGCAAATGCAGGAATACAGTTTTTATTTTCTCCCTTTTCCTTTTATTTTCTTATTTTTCTGCAATAAGCATAACTTCTAAATGAGCTTCCCCCACACACAGAAATACTGTGCTCTCCAATTTAGGGTCTTTTTCTCAATACATACCCTTCTCCACATTGCCTTGCAGTTGCTGAGACTACGCTGGCTGACGTAGAGAGAGAGATAAGGCACCTGAAGTCACAACTGTACCACATGAAAAAAACGTAAGCCTTCTTTCTTCACACACTGTATTCCTAACTCTTGCCTTTTTTCTTCAGACTGCTCTAGGATTTCAGGAGGGTGGAAGGGAGTTAACATATCTGAATACTTATTCTATAACAAGGCCTGGGCTAGTTTTGCATTTTCTCATAATATGGTTTCATTCAATCCTCTCACCAACACTGTTTGTGGGTATTATACCTATTTTATTTACAAGTGACAGAAAACAGTCTAGGATTCATAAATAATTCATCCAACAGCACACAGCTGAGAAGCAATAAAGAAAAGATTGCATGGAGGTTGGCTGACTCAAGAATCTTTGCTCCTTCTTCAGCATCCACTGTACTCAGATGGCTGTCCATGCCTCTTTCTTATCCTGGTATCTAAGCATGATATCAGGCCCAAATATGTTTTCCTATGTACACCTGCACCAGCCCAGTTTGTAATGCATGGACTGTCTCAAGGGTAGGACATCTCAGGAGAAATCAGGCTTTCTGCCAGGGCCTTGCTCCACCACTGAGAAGCTCTTCCTTACTAGGATGTGACCTCAGGTGGTCAGGAGGTTGAGCACAGGCTGTTTTTTCAGAGACCTCAGTACCCAGTCAAGGGCCCTTGTGCCTGCTGTCCTGGGCTGGCCTCCAAGTGAAGTCAACCCCTCCCTCCTTTGTGATTTCAGTACAAACATTCTCCTTGGGCAAAAGATCTGGAAAGAAGCTCTATGTGACCAATGGTGAAAAAATGCCTTTTTCCAAGGTGAAGGCTCTGTGCACTGAGCTTCAGGCCACCGTGGCAACCCCCAAGAGTGCTGAGGAAAACAAGGCCATCCAGCATGTGGCTGAGGACAGTGCCTTCCTGGGCATCACAGATGAAGTGACCGAAGGCCAGTTTGTGTATATGACAGGAGGGGGACTGACCTACAGCAACTGGAAGAAAGATGAGCCAAACGACTATGGCTCAGGGGAGGACTGTGTGGCCCTTCGAACAGACAGACTATGGAATGATGTCTCCTGCCCTTCCTCCTACCTGGCTGTCTGAATTCCCAGCCTGAAGAGGCATACCTCAACCCATCCTTGGCCCTCTGCAGAGCTTTCTGCTGCTCTACAAGAGAATTCAGTGATGGTTTTCTCATGCCCAGTGTTGATTCATTCCTTCGCGTGGTTGGGAGGAAAAGGAAGTGATGTATTTGATTGTGGGATGAGGAAGTGAAAAGTGGCTAAAAGTGGGACATGAAGGTTTCTGGTCCTGCTTGTGGTAAAGGACACCCTCTGTCCTGCCTAAGAGCACAGCTTTGGGTCACAGTCAACCATAGAAAGGGCCCAGGCTAGCCCTCTCCTTTCCAGTGAGGACACTACAAACCCCCAGAGGAACCAATAAAGGGCCACATGGGTGTCAGAGTCAGCAGCAGATCTCAGCCTCCAAAAGTTCCAATTCCTGTTTGTCCAAGTGCCACCACTATTGATGCCAAAGTCTCCTACCCTTGGTTCCTTCCCATGGCTAGCCCAGCCCTATCTATGACACGGGTACTGTCTTTAGTTGTTCGTCAGCTGCACCAGAACACCCTTCACCACCAGAATGTATCACCTGGCAGTATGCAATTACAATCTTAGAACTTCCAAACCTGTAGAGAATTTTTATAAAAGTTTATTTGAACCAAACAAAGGATACTTGAAGCAAGACAGCATTCTGAGAAGCATTCATGCTTCTCAGAATGACACTCTGCAGGTTCTTTTATGCATTTGGAGTTAAGGAGGGAAGGTAAGGAAGATTACACAAAGGTGAATGAAAGCAAGGTGGGGAATGGATTACAAGATAGTTAACAAGATTATGTATCCTCTTGAGGGTGTTTTCTCTTGAGGGGTCTGAAAATAGGCATTTCAAAGGTGTGTTACCCTAGATGCCCAGAAACAATGGACACAGCTTGCTTAAGACTAAGGTAAACCTTTTACTAAAAAAGTTGCATGCCTCAGTGTGACTATTCACCATGGCCTTCCCTCTTAGAAATATATGATCACAACACCCTACAAAGATACTTTCCATAGAATGTTTTCTTCCACACCAATGTAGGTGACAGTGATTAGTCTCAGGAATCTGCTCATCCTGCCCAAGTGGCTATGATCTCCTTATAGTCACTAGGGTGGTCTTGAGGAAAAAAGGACAACCTTCCCTTCCTGCATATTTTAGGAAACCGATTTGACATTGTGGCACATGCAGCATCATCACTGGGGAGGCCAATGGTCAGGCAGACTCCTCACTACCCTCTTCACAGGGCACTCTTGGTCTCAGGTTCTCCGTGTTCAGCACTGCTTCCTTCTGTGACATCCTCATCCCATTATAGGTCAATGGGTCCTTTATTGGTAGAGACAGGAGGAAAAACTCCCCAAAGTGAGGTTCACACCCTGTGGGTCACCCAGTCAGCAACTCAAACCTCCCTCTGAGCAGGACTCTGACACTGTAGGCCCACAGTCCTGCTCATGACCCTGCATGGCTTTTAGCAACCCCTGGGTCAGTGGGCTGAGATTCTGCAGAGCCCATGCAGCACACTGTGGGGAGAGAGTGGATCGTAGCTCCAATTCTATGCCATTCACAATACGAGATTTGGGAAATGGGCCCTTCATGAAATATGTTTGTTAAAATTCATTTCCACTTTATTTTTCTTTGTATCTCATCTACCAGGGAGAGCACCTCATAATTAGTAAGTGCTTCATGAGTATTTGTTGAATGGGTACACTCATTCAAAAATTCACCAAATGGATGAGGGGATAGAATAGCGAGGAGTGCACATAGGGAGAGATCTCTTCCAGGTGCCTTCCTGTTGCAGGCCTGCCAGGACCAGAATGAGAGTTGGATTGGGACATGTACAAGCCATTAGGGCTACAGAGTGAGGGTGACAGGACCTGTGCCTTTGGCCTCTAGCATACCTAAACTGTCATGTCACTGAATTTTTAACCCCACAAGTCTCTTTTCTTAACCCCTGCACTTGGGGTAAAGACAAAAAAAAATTTGTTATGCAGAGCAGAACAATTCACTATTTTCAGTTCAAATCCACACTGCTTACCAAAGGAATGGGAAACTGCTTAAAGTGTAGAGGCACGTATCAAACCATGCATTAAGGCAAATAGAAAATGGAAAGACCACAAACTTACCAAGAAAAGAGGATACACATAAGATGACTCAGAGAAAAAATTACTGCAACCAAGAATAAAAGTTACACCTAAATTTTCTCATAGCCAAAAAAGCAATGAGAACACAGATGGGTAACCAGTACATTATTCTTCTTATTTTATGTGAAGGGGAGCAGTGAGCATGGTCTACCCTGAGGGGAATCTTCTTTGTATATACTGTGCATAGAGGACAATATCTTCAGCCTATAAATCTGTAAAAGAAGCAGTCATGTACTTCACATGGATGTTTCACAGTATGTAATGATCACCCCCTCAGTCAGGGAAACTACAATGAAAATCTGCAGGACACACTCAGATTCTTCCATTCCCCTTTCAGGTTTCTCCTTGGCCTGTTCTTACCGCTCTAGCACCTATTATCTTTTCAGAGCTCCTCTCTCTAAATTTAGCCACTTGCCATTGTTCTCCCCTCATCTAGAACTGAGGCAACTATCTCCCTGTATTCACTTATTAACTCTTATCAGCAAGCAGTGGGACCCATGCATGTTAGCTCAAGAACATGTGACATTAATCTAAAGATACAGGATTCTACTTTCAGCCAAGATGGAGGCATAGGAAGATACACTGTGCCTTCTCACACAACCAAAAGAAGGGCAATGACAGATTTAAAAACAAAAATCAACCAGAACTGCCAGAAAAGTGAACTTCATGGAAGTCCAACAACCAAGGAGTTAACAAAGAAACATTCTCCAGGTAGGTAGGAGGGGTGGAGACAAGCCGCTGGGACAGCATGCAGCTAAGTGGTACCTGGTGGAGTGGGTGGTCCCACATTTCTATGCAGATAAAATGGAAAGGACAACTGGGGAGCAAGACAGACTGCACTACCCAGGGTTCCACTGCAGGGAAATAAAGCCTCAAAACTTCTGACTGAAAAAAAACTGTGGGGATTGTGGCAGCAGAAGAAACTCCCAGCCTCACAGGTGAGTTCATCAGAGAGACCCACAGGTCCTAGAATATACACAAACCCACCCACCTGGGAATCAGTGCCCGAGGGCCCAATTTGATTTTGGATGGTGGAAGAAGTGACTGAAAGCTGGCAGAGAGCTGAGAAGGTAGCATTGTTCCCTATTGGACCCCTCCCCCACATACAGTGCCACAACACAGCAATGTGGGTTGCCCTGCCCTGGAAATACCTATGGTTCTGCCCCTTACTACAACACAACAGGCACACCCAGACAAAACAATGGCCCAAATGAAAGAACAGATCAAAGCTCTAGAAAAAAAATACAACTAAGCAATGAAGAGATAGCCAACCTATCAGACACACAGGTCAAAAAACACTGGTAATCAGGATGCTCACAGAAATGCTTGAGTATGGTCCCAAAAGGGAGGAAAAAGTAAAGGCTATGAAAAGTGAAATGAAGAAAAATGCATAGGGAACCAACAGTGACAGGAAGAAAGCCAGCACTCAAATATAAGATTTGGACCACAAGGAAGAAATAAACAATCAACCAGAACAAAATGAAGAAACAAGAATTAAAAAAAGAAAAAGCAGAAAGGCTTAGGAGCCTCTAAGTCAACTTTAAACATTCCAACATCTGAATCATAAGGGTACCAGAAGGAAAAGAACAAGAGCAAGAAATTGAAAATTTATTTGAAAAAATAATGAAGAACTTTCCCAAGGAAATATATTTCCAGGAAATGGAGGAAGCTCAGAGAGTCCCAAAGAAGTGGGACCCAAGGAAGTACACACCAAGGCACATCATAATTACATTACCCAAGATTAAGGATAAGGACAGAATGTTAAAAGCAGCAAGAGGAAAGGACACAGTTACCTACAAAGGAGCTCCCGTAAGACTATCAGCTGATTTCTCAAAAGAAACCTTGCAGACAAGAAGAAACTGGAAAGAAGTATTCAGAGTCATGAAAGGCAAGGACCTACATCAAGACTGCTCTATCCAGCAAAGCTATCATTTAGAATGGAAGGGCAGATAAAGTGCTTCCCAGATAAGGTCAAGTTAAAGGAGTTCATCATCACAAAGCCCTTATTATATGAAATGCTAAAGGGACTTATCTAAGAAAAAGATTATCAAAACTATAAATAGCAAAATGACAACAAACTCATAACTATCAACAGCCGAACCTAAAACAAACAAACTAAGCAAACTAGAACAGGAACAGAATCACAGAAATGGAGATCATGTGGAGGGTTATCAGTGGGGGAGTAGGGGAGGAATGGGGGAAAAGATACAGGGAATAAGTAGCATAAATGGTAGGTACAAAATAGACAGGGGGAAGTTAAGAATAGTATGGGAAATGGAGAAGTCAAAGAACATATCTGTACGACCCACGGAAATGAACTAAGGTGGGGGAATGCGGGTGGGAAGGGGTGCAGGGTACAGGGGATAAAGGGGTAAAAATGGGACAACTGTAAATAGCATAATCACTAAAATATACTTAAAAGAAATATAAACCACTAGACTACAAGATAAGAAGGGAAACCATTAAATAAAAGCAAGAGTGACTTAAATCTTATTGACCTACCAATAGTTCAGAAGGGTTCCCCTTCCTCTTCATGTGCCAGGGCTTGTTATTTCTTGATTTAATGATGATGGCCATTCTGACAGGTGTGAGCTGATATCTCATTATGGTTTTACTTTACTTTTCTCTGATCATTAGTGCTGTTGAGCATCTTCTCATGTGTCTATTGACCAACCCTAAGTCCTCTTTGAAGAAGTGTCTATTCAGGTCCTTTGTCCATTTTTCATTGGATCATTTATTTATTTTATTTTGGTGTTGAATTTTCTAAATTCTTTTTTTAATATTTAATTTATTTATTTTAGAGAGGGGAAGGGAGGGAGAAAGAGAGGGAGAGAAACATCAATGTGTGCTTTGTCTCTCGTGCGCCCCCCACTGGGGACCTGACCTGCAACCCAGGCACATGCTCTAGACTGGGAATTGAACCGGTAGCCCTTTGGTTCCAAGGCCAGCACTCAATCCACTGAGCTA